CAAAATGAATAGGAATTAAGAAGGTAAATTAATTCCTAAGGGAAATCACTGTAGATCTCATTAGTTCAGGAACAAGATACCTTAAAACTTTTAATTAAAGATAATATTTACTGCAAATGAATAAGAGTTGGCAGGTTTCAGCAGAAACCATAATCTCATTTATGCGAAGTTTTTTTATATTAAGGCAGACATCATTAATCTCATTGGAGATGCCCTCCAGACTGACAGTGCTGTAGCACCAAGGTGATTTCTTACAGAAGTCTTTTTATCTACACAAAAGAAATCTAACTCAAGCAGACACAAACCATAAGAAGGCCTGAGCAATTAGAGATATCACTGTGCAAATAGAGTACTGACTTTATCGTGTTAGTAAGCCTCTCATAATGAGCTCACTTCTAACGGGGCCCATCTTCCCACTAGCAGCTGAAAAATTAACACTAACTGGAACTCATATCGCTTAGTTATCTGCACAGTAATCCAGCTCCGGATCTGCTCTGACTTGGAAAGAAATCTCCTTTGGAGTTGGAGTCTGCAAAAAATTAAATAGCAAACTGTAGATGATACAATGTATTCTGAACAGCCATGGGAAAGCTCCACATTTCTGTTTCATCATAGTACAAAAGAGGTTTCTTTTTACAAGGCTGAATTCACACAAAGGGTGCACAGTACTAACAGAAGTTGTAGTCTGTTTGGTATCTGTGTTCAGAAACTGTAAATACATACTGGTAAAAACCTAGGTAGGTTTCGGTAGAAGGCTGCAAATGACCACACCAAAACAAATATTTTGAGAAAATAAAGCTCCAGGAGGATATGAGTTTGCAGGATTTTGTATTTGACATGCTAACTATATTAAAGAAAATTCACCTTGCTGGTTTGTAGTAATAAGTGAATATTCTAGCATACCATGCCGTGGATATTAATGAACTACTACAACAGCAGAAACAAACTGATCCAGGGCATCTTCTATTAAGAGAAATATAATGACAAATAATTAATAAATGACTAATGTGTCCTAATCACTATGGAAAAGCTACTGTTTATTGCATCTCTAGTTTGAATTTGCTCTAGCTTCAGAGGAGTTTGAAAGAACTTTTAGTACTGAAAGACTAACTAAAGTGCAGAGGATGACATTACTACAACATTTGTAATATTTTTGTGTGTGGTTTGAAACAAAGCTGAAATTCTGTCTCTGAGCAATAAAAAAGTTCTTTGAGAACATCATAACTGGCACAAGATTTCGTTATAGAAAGCCCCAAAGCGGCAAAGTTCACTTCCACGGCTAACACCTGATTTGGTTTATTTGCTAATCTTTCATCAGAAATGTACAAACAATTCAGGGGCTTCACCTGGGTAATCAATGGGTAACCCTTTTCCTGTCACGCTTCCCTGCCCACCAGTCAGTCAGCATAAACATTTTCACTGTAACAGCTGCTCCACCTTGGAGTGCATCGTAAGGCTGCAATATCACCACTTGCTAGGATCTAAAGAGAAGTCTACATCAGTAGACAGCAAAATCAATGCTCACCCAATTACAGATATTTTTCAAAAATATTGCAGGCTCAGTTCATTCATCTTTTATGTCGGTTTTCCACTTTGGGCCAAATACCAGCAGAGCTGTTTCTGCAGCGTGATGGATCTTAGTGGAACAAAGAAGTTACTTTCATCACTGCCATATAAATATCCTGATGCTGTCTAATCCCACCTGGTTGTCTGGGGCACATTTTCTATCTTTCCCCTAGACACTGGAATATTGAAATAGATGTGAGAAGAGCCTTCACCTGCTGCTTGACAGGAGATGCAAGAGAGGAAACAACCCCCAGGCTCACAGCTCTGAGAAACTTTGCCATCTACACAAGAATAATTTTTCAAAACACAAACATGTTTTTCTCCACGATTCTCCTCTGGTACCTCCGGTTCTTTCAAACTGTACTCCTTCAGATGAAAGTTTGTATGTAACCGCAGTTATACACACCTCTACGTGTTCACAACCACTCAGCTCTTCAGGAAACCTAGCTAACACTCCCCGTGTTATTTACTCCATCCTTTTACTGAAACCATCCTGTGCCACACCTGCCTAGTGACAGGGTTTGCTGAGGAGTTTTTCCTTTACAGTCAACTGTGGGACTGCTTCTTCCTAAGGAGACAAAGAGCTCTTTTTCCCTCTCTGTTTAACCAGTAACTCTAACCATTCTCACTCCAAAAGGAGGCACAGTTAAGCAATACACAAAGAACTGCTATCCAGCCAGCAACTCTGTAAAGCTTCCGGAACTGGATATGCTTTGTCATTGCTCATCTGGTGTGGACTGAAAGGTAATAACAGAATCATAGAGTGGTTTGGGTTGGAAGGAACCTTAAAGCTCACCCAGCTGCAACCTCCTGCCACAGGCAGAGACAACTTCCATTACAGCAGGTTGCTCCAAGCCCTGTCCAACCTGTCCTTGAACACTGCCAGTGATGGGGCAGCCATAGCTAATACCTAACCTAAATCTCCCCTCTGTCAGTTTAAAGCTATTACCCCCTTATCCTGATCCTACAGGCCCTTGTAAAAAGTCCCTCTCTGGGCTTCTTGTCAGCCCGTTTAGGCACCAGGAGACACTAAGGTGTCCCAGAGCTTTCTCTTCCCCAGGCCGAAGAAGCCCAGCTCTCTCAGCCTATCTCCATAGGAGAGGAGCTCCAGCCCCTGAGCATCTTTGTGGCCTCCTCTGGACTTGCTCCAACAGGTCCACATCTCTGTTGTTTTGCAGGCCCGAGCTGGATGCAGCACTGCAGGTGGGGTCTCATGAGAGTGGAGTAGAGGGGCAGAATCACCTCCCTCGACCTGCTGGCCATGCTGCTTGTCATGCTGCCCATTTTGGTGTAATCCTGACCCACACACAGCTGTGACGGCCACCGCAGCAACTGCGGTCAAACACCCGCACTCCACCCCGGCCCCAGTTCTTCCTCATGGCTCTGTTTTGCTGGAACAGCTGTTTAGCGCTGCTGTAGCGCGGCCCCTAGTGCGTTCCGCTGGAGCGTCCCTGCGCGCCCAAGGGCTGCCCCCTGTCCATGGCCGCAGGAAACAGGACGCGGCCCGCCTCCCGAAACGGCCGCTTTATTTTACTGCCACCTACTGGAAAAAACACCGTTACATTTAACATGGCTGAGGACAGGGCAGCGGCCTGAGCAGCGCCGTCAGCATCGGGCCGCAAACGCCCGACAGACGCTGTGGTGAGGCCGGCAGTACATCACGCCCGGGCCCGCACCCTCGCAAGCCGGGCAGGGCCTCGCCGGGCAAAAGGGGCCTTCGGGAGCGGCAGCCCAGAGATCAGCGTGGGGCCCACGCGTCGGGACGCGCCCAGGGCCCGGCTGCGCTCCCCGCCGGGCGCTGCTGTGGGCCCGGCACCAACGTGCGGGCGCGGGGCCGCGCGGCGGCGACCGTTGCCACAGCAACAGCGGCTCCCTGTGAGCCCCGCCCCGCCCTGCTCGCCACGGCTGCGGCGGCCAGTGGCGGCGGCGGGAGGCGTCACGTGGGGCAACGGGCGCCGCCGTGAGGGGCTGAGGGGCCGGTGGCGCTCACACCGCCGAGAGCCGCAGCCATGTTCGGGGGTCTGGGACGCCGCTTCGAGGAGGACCCCTTCTTCCGGTGAGGGGCCCGCTGCGGCCCCGGGGCGCCGGGTTGGGAGGTGGCGGGCGGCCTCTGGAGCCCCGTGCTGGGGTTATGGGGGTTGCGAGTGGGTGTGAGGTGGCCGTAGCCTGAAGCAGCGTTTCGAGGTTCCCGTCGCCTTGGAGCACTCGTATCTGCGCGGGGTTAAGCCACCGATACGGTTCCTAGCCGTGCTCCCCCCGTTCCCCGAAACAAACGAGGGTGCGGAGTGCATGTTAGAACTAGGGGGAGGGGGATAAACTGTTGCTAGTGGCCCCTCTTCAGCAGCGCTCGTAATCCTTACTGTGCAGTAGGGAATTTGGTCGTAATTTTATAGTGGCATCTACAGAAGTCTTCACCTCCGTTGGTTTGAGTTTCTTGCTTTTGTTTTTGGGTTTCTTTTTCCTAAAGTTTCTTAGGAAGTGGACAGGTGCTATATGTTCTCGCTTCTCTGGGTTTTTTTGGCTTTGTTTTTTCCTTTTTGCCCCAGACTTTCTGGACTTTTGTCAATGCACACACTAAAGGTTACACCAGGTGTTCTTGCATTAGAACTTTGCCAATGTCTACATGAGATCAGTAAAGGCAAGCTGTTTCCTTGTGCTGATTTTCTGAGTGGATCCTTATGCTTCAGCTCAGCAGACTTGCTTTTTTTTGATCTCCGTACTGCAAGCACAATGATAGTGCTTGGAGTAGAGCATGTCTATGTACTCAACTCTGAAATCACGATATTTCTCATAGGAATCTTCTTTTCCCACGGGAACCCAAATCCAAGTAGTGTGTCGTGCAAATGTTCCCCTATCCTGTGTTAGGATAGTCAAAACTGCTGAAGTATCTAGTCTGGCCCCATTTTATATCCTTCATCAGAAATTGATCTGTAGCGGGTAAGAATGGGATAGTACAGCTCAAAGGAGCCTGAATGATTTTAGTAAGTACCAATAAAGGCATCGTGTCTTTAGGAAAAACTATGTGGAACTTGATTACAAGCAAAGATAAGGTATAGTGCTGGTGGGTGGACAAGGCAGGGTAACACTTAGGACCTTGTGATGTGGGTTTGTTGACTGTATCTCTTAGCTACTGGGTAGTCTAGCTGAGGTTGCGTTTGTACCTCTTAAAGGAGAATCTACTGCTTAGTTGCAGAAACATGTTTCTAGCCGTGGGATAGCTTCTAAAGCTGCACAATTGATTAGTACACTTGGTTTCTAGGAATATGTGCGCTAGTATAACAACTCATCAGTTACATGAAGAAAATTTCCTCTGCATAAAACTAAAATAATAATAGAAATTAAGTCTTGTTTGTAGTATTTTGTAGCATGCTTTTGAAGTATTAGTTGCTTTCCTTTCATTTATTTTATTGCAGTCACTGATACAGTTTAAAACTAGGGAGAAAAGATGACTGCAGAAGATAATGGAAGGGAGTGTGTGTGAAAGAGATGAGAGATGGATTTTGAGATTAATGTTCTTGGCACTGCCCTTTTAAATCTGTTTTGCATGTAGTTAAGGAAATTAGCTTATTGCTTCAGATAAGATTGGCTTCCAAAATAGAGTAATAATAGGCTTCTATTGCCTCTTAAGGAGAGATTTTGATTGCTGAACTGGAAAAAGTGCCTGGGTTAAAAGAAATAGCTCTGTCTGTGAGCAGCTGTCCTGGGGAAGCACCAGTCAGTCAGTCAAAATGCTGCCCAGGCCCCCCCCCCCCGAGTTTCATCGCTGATAGCCTAGACAGGTGCAGAAGTTGCATCTTCTCTGCCAAGTGCAGTTGGCCTCTGTTTTTAATTCACCAACAGACAGCTCTTGTTTTATTGTCCAGGTGTTACCTTCAGTGTGATTCTGCAGCTTCAGGCTTACATAAGTTCCTAAATAAATAAACAAAATGTATCTAATACAAAGTACAGTTTTCAAAAATAACAAACTGAATTAATTGTTCTAGGACACTGATTTTTAAACTGACCAGAAACACATGCTGACTTACACTGTACCAGGACATATGTTTTCCAGACAGATTCTCTGTTGACTTCCCATTGGTTTTGCCCTACTCTAGAGCATATCAAAATTGTAGCATTTGTTTCGAAGCTTGACAACACTAGATCTTTTTATGAATAGCTCCCTAAAATGTCCCTGGGGAACTGGGAGGCTTCACTTCTGTTCCTGAATCTGTCACAGTGTATCTCTTACTTCCCTGTCTCTGATAGTAAGAAGCTGTATTTCTGAATTGCTTCACAGACCTTCATTAAAAAAAAACAACAAAAAAAACAACAAAAAAACATAAAACCCCAGTTTTAGATGCAGGTATAAGTGTATCAATTAGATGTAGTGGAGCGTGAATGGCCAAGAGAAGTTGCCAGAGAAACTGAAATAATGCAAAAAGGACAATTTCACAAGGTATGAAGCATTATTTTGTCAGATGAGGTGTATTACAGTATGTTAATGCACATTAAATTAAACCAAGTTTTCTTGTCTACATTCAGTCCATGAAATCTTATTTTGCTTATGATGTGTTGTAGATAACTTGAGTGTCCTTTTGAACTGGAAGAGACTGGAGAGAAATTTTGTTATATATATATATTACTGATGGAATACAGTTTGAGTTTTGATAACCAAACCTGTCTGAAGTTTGTGGTGTCAGAATAGATTTGCTGGAAGTACATGTCTACTGCAGTGCAGTGCTTGTGTGCTTCCCTCATCTTGGCTCGTGCAGTGACTTTTTCCATCTGTTCTTCATCCTGTGAAACGTGAGGGGACGCTTGCTGTGTGCAAGCTGCTTATCACGCTAGGGCTGAAGTTAAAGCTGGTTGTCATGTGAGTGGGGTAGATTAGGGTCTGCTTAACGACAATGATAAAACTACTTCTATACAGGTCCCTTTGCATTGAAGTGAGTTAAGTATGGGCATAGCTTAAAGGGATATTGTGTTAAAAAATCTTGTTTGAAAATTAATCCAGCATACATTTGTAGCCCTATTTCTTTGCACCTTTTAGTGCAACTCTGGCACAAGAAGAGAGTGTATATAGTGGAGAGATCAAAGTGGCCACGTGGCATGGAAATTAGTTTTCATAGGATTGAAGATAAGGGAGGAGAGAATAGAAAAGCTGTTCAAGAGACTTGAAAGAGATGATTGGCTGTTAAAGTCAGAGGAACAACCTGAAGGTCTTCTTCACAGAGGCAGATTTTACAGGAAAGGCTGTGGTGTCCTGGAGAGAATGAGGGTGTGAGCTGTCTGGGGAGTGCCAGGAAATTGATAGGAAGGAAGATGAGGTGCGATTAAGTCTAAGTAAACATACCTGGGAAATGATTGTTAATAAAATGGCTTTCAGTGGACTAGCAAAGGGGGGAAATTAGACTGGAGATGAAGGGAGGAAATCACCTGTATTTTTTGTATGAAGTAGCCTTGGACCACAGGCAGCAGTACTGATCATGTATTGTGCTTCTGGCAAAATCGTATTTTGATCTTTTTTTGGTTAGAAATATTTAGCACATGCCCAAATTAGAGAATGCAAAGAATGAAGTAGTAATGGAGGGCAACTTGAGCAGTGTTCTACCTGCAAGCCAATCTTTGGGATTACTCGGGAGGTTCTAAAAACCTACAGGTTTTTGGAAGCAGAGGCTGAGTGTTTAGAGAGAAGAGGGAGAAAACTAGTAGGAAAGCAAAAAGCCAGTAAGAATCTTTCTTCCTAGGCAGAGAAAAGGGGTACGAGAACATGATTTATGGAGGGGGTAAAAAGTGATACAATAGTGGGTGACTAAAGTAAAGGAGATGGAGAGGATTGTATACATTTTTGAGCATGTGGGTCAAAGAGGATGAGAAGTAGAGTGGAAGTGGCCAGCAAAAAAATTTGAGGGGTGATGGTGATGAAATCTGGTGGGACATAATGAGTTCAGTGAGTAGTACCATAGTAAGCTTTGAGAGATTGAAGTCAAAAAAGGAGAGAGGAAAAAAAAAATCTTTTAATGTCAGGGGTTGGAGGTAGAAGTAGTGATAAAACATGGGTCAGTTTTATGGTTTGTGGCAGATGGTAAACATAGGCTGGAGTGAAAGATGGTTGCAAAGGCTGAAATATTTTTTGGGGAAGGTGAGGAAAGAGAAAAAGCAATATGGACACACAAGAGTGTAGGAAAGCCATGAAGGCAGCTGAGAAGACAAAAGAACTAGAACATCCAACCAATGTGAGAGATGGGAAGTGAAAGAAGTGAGAGTTTGTGAGAAACAGGAGATTGCCCAGTCGGGTCCTGTTAAAGTCAGAATTTAAATAAAGAACCATATCGTATGATTAATAAAATTGCATTTTAACAATTTTGGAGCAATTTTCTGTAGCTTGCAATAAAACCTGATGACTTTCTGTGCAAAATATCTCTTTTTCAGAGATCCTTTTGCTGCCCACCATGAATATATGCGGCAGATGATGAGAAGCTTTTCTGATCCTTTTGGACGAGATCCATTTCTCAGTATAACAGATGGTGGGGAGAGAACAGTAGATCGAAGAGCACACCAGGACTCTCGGGTTGCTCTAAGAGGAAATCGCAGAGTAAGTATTTTCTTAATCTCTAAGGATTGCTACATGGAATTTACATTTACTGGTAGTATGGTTGGCTTCACATTTCCATTTCTGTTAAATTTGGTCCAGTGGAAACAGGGGCCTGTTACAACCTTGGTCAGATTGTTTCGTTGCCAAGTAATACGTGAATAATCTCTCTTGGTTTGTTAATAGCCTGTTACTTCACACTGACAAGCTTCTGTTAGGACAAGTCTGTATTATTGAACATTGAATATACAGTATTTAATGAAACAAACTAAACAATCTTATCAAATGTTTGGTTTAATAAATGTTATGTATGAAATGTCTGTTACAGAAAGGCATTAAAAATGTCCAGAAACAGAGCCTTCTCTGAACTCTTCCTTTTTATTCTAACTTTCTTTAAAAGGTACCTTGATACTTATGCCTTCACTCTGCAACTTAGTATCTTCTGTCTAGTTACTCATGTTAGTTTGATTTAACAAAAACCTGTGTTTCAGCCACTTGGGATCAGAGAAACTGATATGAAATCTAGTATTTCTATAAATTACCAGCTGAAACTGAAGAAGTTGGCAGTGATCTGTGTTTTGCGTAAAGTAGTTTTTTTTAACTTTATGGCATGCAGGACAATTATATCTTATGCTTCTGTAGCTAAACCTTGTGAATTGCTGTATTTAGAAAGGATACACTTTGGAAGTTGGTTCCTTCCCCTCCACCAGGATAAATATTTTGCAGCTGAATGATCTCTTACTTTAGTGAATCATATTTAATTAAAAAAAAAAATCCCAAACCATTCAAAAAAACACAACTATCCCTGCCCCCCTCCCCCCCCCCAAAAAAAAAGAGTTGGAAGACGAGACTCATTGCAAGAGCTTGTGGAACTTGGCCAGATTTCGTGGTGGTTGTTCAAACCTAGATAGTTAGACCTTAATAAACACAGCTAAAACACAGACTATCACCTGCAAGTCAAAAGGGTAACTGTCAGATTCTTTCCTCTCTGCTCATACGTTGCCAGTTAGTTTCAAATATAGATGCTGCTGAATCTAATTAGGGCATGATATTTCCTCTACTGAAGCAGATTCTTAGGCCTTGTTTCAGTAGATGCCTAAAACCAGATCGGCCTTCATTTTCCTTCAGAAAAAGGATACTTTAAACCTTATCCTAATAGCTAGGAAGTTTTTGTCCCTTGTACTTGGTGGTGAGGGACAGATGTGAGACACAGGAAACCTTTATCTATGGTTACAGAAAGAAGTTAAAGGCACAAAAGCACTGTGTTATTTTGATAAGCACAGAAGAATTCCACACCTGCTAAAATCTTTTGATGTTCCTCGTGTTTCACCTCAGAGCTGTCAGATGTCACAGAAGGCTTGGCACTGATTACTTGAGCATTGTAGTAGTTGCAAACCGCTTTTACTGGTTTCCCTTCAGAAGTGACTCAGATACTTAAAATAATTAGTTTTGTGTAGGAAAAAATGGGTATCTTTACTACCATGTAAAAACCACTTTGTTAAAGTTACCCATATTGATTACTGATATTGTCATTCTATGTTTAAGTAAACTAGCGTGTCTAAAACTGCTTTATGAGGAAAAGAACTTGTTGCAAAAACACAATGTGTATCAGTATAACATTCAAATTTGAACATGCTTTTCCTTTTTCAAGCAGGTTTGCAATGTCAGTTTTTAGCACAATGAATGGGGTAAAACATCTTAAAAGATACTGTCATTCAGTTTTGTTATGGTATCTGATGGTCCTATATGTTAGGCAACTATTTAGCCACTTTTAGCATGTATTATAAAACAAAGTTTATAAACTTTATTTCTGAGGATAGCCTTTTGCACTTGATATATGTAACATATAAATATATATGATATTCTTTCAATACATATTAGACAGAACTGCAATCTGGAAGAGTTCTTAAAGGTACTCCAAGAAGTGGTCAATTCCTTTTGTACTTAAAAGTTACTGTAAAGTGTTTAGTACTTCTTTATTTAGGTGGCTTTTATGTAACTCTCCAATCTTAGCTTCCTGGAAACATCAGTGTGTTGTCCAGCGTCTCATTGCCCTGTCATGTAGGGATATTCAATATCAGTTGGTCAAACAGGAACTATATTTGTTGGTGTTTATAGCTACATCTGTTTATACAACTGCAGAAGAATATAATTTGCTTGTGGGGATTTGTCTTCAGGGGGTTCTGTATATGATGATAAATTTACCTGGAATTTCTGTGCAATGATCTCAGAAACCGTTGACTTAACTGCTGAAGTTAGACTTCATTTTATTGTAAGGAATGTATAGATATTTTAAAGAAATATCTTTCTATTTGCATTGATCAGTTTTAATACATAAAGAGTGCTTGTTAACAGGCCAACTGCACCACTTAATTTTTTTAAGCTCTAAAATTGTACGCCAACCTTCTAAAATTTAATTATGTTACATTAAGGGACTATTGATCTGTTGATTTTCATCAACTGTCAGCAGTGGGGTTCTATTGCATGACTAGAATGAAGTGTTGTCAGAGAAGTGGGTGATGTGTGAAGCACTGTGCAATGTTTTAAATAATTTTGGCACAGAGGTTACTATGGTAAACAAATGTTTCTCAACTTGTAGCTTTAAGTTCTTCTAGTACATACATGTGAATAGGATTTATTAAATGTGGTGACAGCTATTGCTTTCCAATATCAATAGTGTAAATATATTAACCGGAGACTACTTCATATTATATTGGCATAGCACACTATAAATTACCAAGGTCCTTTTGAGTGACTGTTTTTGTTTGATTGAAAATGTTTAATATTACCTGGTGTATATGAAAGTTACTTCTGCTGCCTGATAACAGGTATAACTGAAAGATGCTGGTCCTTTTTCTTCCAGGCAACAAGCTGTGGCATCATGCCCTTTGCAGGCTTTGGTAGAGTGGTTAGTATCCCAGGACCAATAATCCTTTTAGTTCTTGCTAGTATGTGTGTACTGTCTGCATAACTAAAGCATGGACAAAGGCAAGTCTTGTTGTGCTTACAAACTGCTTTTGTTGGTGTTTACATATATGGAACAGTATAATTCAAGAAAGATATTCTTTATTTTTTTTTTTTTAATTCTTAAGTGAAAATGCTGGGGTAGATTAAATAGGCTGATACCAAGACTGGAAAAGTTATTGCTTAGCAGCTGGCTTTTTCTACTCGGTGATGTACCTGATTGTACTTAATCTCTGGAGACTCCAAACTCTGACTACTGCCTTTGGAAGGCTTTAAAGAGTCCTCAGATTGAAACCCATTGGTTAAGAGAGTGGTTCTCACTTGCAGAGCAGACAAAAATAATCATGCGTCTTTGACTTTACAGATCTAAGGATATAAATATGACATTACAAAGGCACAAATTTGCATCTTGCCGATGCAAAAAGCTAATCAAAGTTCTTTTGCTACTAACTGCACAGATTATGGTTTTACCCTCTTGCTGCAATCTATGGCATGTAATTCCACAGGTACAGCTGATTACTAGGCAATGGCATTGGTGAACACCCAGATTTCTAACTGTAGAAGGCAGTTTTCTGGAGTTACTGACACTTGCTGTGAATTGATGCCCTAAATTATCTATCAGTATTGCCAGAGGTTTTGATAACCCTTTAAGGATTCATATTTCTTCCTACTCTAGAAAAAAAAATTTCTGTATCTGAGTTTTACTTAGTTTTATGCTTAAGCTGCAGGTTTTATTTTTAAACTTTTAAATTCAATTTATGTGTTTCCAGTAGTCCGAGGAATGTGGGATGTCTGCAATTGTAATTAGCATCCTGGTGTTTTGAAGCACTTCAGTAGCGCAAAGGGCTGCCATGTGCAGCCCAGCAACCAGCCTCTTGACAAAGCTGCTAGGTTTTGAGGAGCTCATGGGAGCAGTTTTCCCTGCTCTTGTCACAGTCTTGTACCTGTGGACCAGAGTGTGGTGGTGGCACAGCGGCTGTCCTGGGAAGCAGCTACGTGCACATGTGCCTAAACTCACCAACCCATCAGTGTGTGGTGTTTGCTCTTAAGTAGTGTGCTCCAACCAAAGCTGCTCCTGTTGGAAACCAGGCAGCCCAGTAGGGAGTATGAACTGGTTCTGAGGAAAAGCTTGTAGTAGGAACGGAAAGGCATGATGAAAATACTTATCACCACCTGCTGCACTGGAGAGGAGCCCAGAGGAGGATGCTCCTTTGGGACAGAATTGCTGTCTTCCCAGATGGTCACTTAAGAGAGTTCACCCTTTCCTTGCTTTCTGTCTCCCTGTCTATGTTTTTTTGTTTGTTTTTTTTTTTTGTTTTATTTCATTTTCTTCAAAAGACAGCTTTCATCAGTATATGCCATCAGCTACATGTCCTATTAATAAAATTCTGTGCATGTAAACCTGTCTTAATATCTATCTTTTGTGCAACACTGGATCTTCTGCCGTCATGTAGAAATAACAAATGTTTTGTTGATTACATCTGTAGCATCAAGTAATTAAGCTGCCATTAAAATACCAAGTTATGATTCTCTGTTTTTTTTTCCCCACTGCCCTTTATGAGTAATGTACACTACTTCTGCAAAGGAACAGCTGTGTCTGCTGGGATGCATTTTCAGTGTGACTCCATATGCATTAAGGGATTTTACATAATAGAGATAATTTGATCTTCAGTAGATTATAAGGCATGGAGTGTCATATAGTCCTTTTTACAGCAGAAGCTAGTTAGGTTAGAAGGTATTTGAAAATAGTTCTTGTAAACTGTCTACACGATGAGCTTATTTTCACATTCAGGTGTCAAATCTTTGACTTCTGTCTTACCAGTATCTCCAACTTAACAAGCAAGCTCCCCATGTTAGCTTACAATTTTTTTTAGTTGAAAAGATGCATTTTGGCCTGTCTATGTCTATGAATTGCAGCCTTTGAAAACCTTTCTGGTGGTCTTATTTGCATTAGAAAATGCATGTGGAAACAGCTTCAGAACTTGAGGAGTTCTAGACTATGTTTTAATTTTAATGTCTTTTATTAGGATGCAGATTTTGGGGACCCATTTTTTGCAATGGACAGGATGGTGTCAAATATGAGAAACAGTATGCTGGAAATGCAAAGAAAATTTGTAAGTTTGTTTGTTTTTTGAGTTTGTTTTTTGTGTTGTGTTTTTTTTTAAATTAAAAATTGGTCTAAAATTAATTGTCTTGGAGAACAATAGCTGTTTAAAATATTACTCAAAGTCCTGCCAAAATAAAAGTTATTAGTCTTAAACAGGAGGAATTTAAAATTTTCCCCCCACACTATATCGTGGTTATAATTCTTTATGCTGTCATTGATTATTTGCTAACAACAGTATTTTAAGCGTATGCTTGATTTTCTAGGGGTTAGAACTGCTGTAAGTTATCTGGTCTCTGCCTGTTGCCAGAGCTGACACCTTAAGCGAAGGAGCGATTTAAAGCTTTACTGGACATTTAAAAACAAAAACCACAAAGCATAAATGTCACCCTCCATATAGGTTTTTCTCTGATTTTATTTGCAGTGCTGCTTCTTTCTTCTTTCTTCACAGTCTTTGAAGATAACACTGATAGCTATTAAAGTGTTGCTCAGTAAATTTACTGTTTTATTGGCCTTGTAAAATGGCTTGTAACCATTGTTGCTCAAGTCCTATTTCACCTGAACTCTTTACACACATTATATACTGTATGTGGCAAGACTTATGTTACAGGTTATGTATCTTCATTACTAAACTATGCCAGGGCAAGCATTCGAGCATTTGCTTATTGCTGCCCAGGCTTTGGACCATGTTCCCTGGCATGGGAGACCTGTGGCCAGACAAGGCTAGGACAAGAGTGAGGGTATATCAAATGCCGAGTTCTCTTCTCAACCGGCAGCATCTGTGGTGCCAGGAGTGAGGGTTAATTTTTCAGAGGGGTATTCTTTTCACAATGAGATAGTGTCAGAATGTAAGAAGTGCCTATTATCCACAAGTTTCATTTTTTTATTAATAAGTCTACATTGCTTGTAGGATGACCTGTCCATCCATCCAGACGCGCACACGTTTAGCTCCTCCTCTGTGATGACATACTCCAAAATAGGAGATGAACCACCAAAAGTTTTCCAGGCTTCATCTCAGACACGCACAGCTCCAGGAGGTGTAAGTAGTCCTGAGATCCAGCAAAAAGGTGGTATGTAATTACCAAAATTTCATCTATGCCAAACTGCAGCTTCCTTAAGGTTCTTTTTCCTGGAGACAGTTACTCTTATAATTTAGAAAAACATATGTCTTTTTAAACACTGCTCTATATTAAAGGTTTCTGAAGCTGAAGTGCAGTTTTCTTCCTTATAATTTGTATGCTTCTAAGTATGCATCTAAATAAATTGTATGTCTATCAGACTGGAAAAATTGAGTGCCAGAACAGCTGATTCTTCAAGTCAGTCTCCAGTGTCTTTCTCTTTACTACAGCTAATACTCTTCTTTTACATTAAATTTCTGTCCAAAATGTAAGATACAAGAAGCAGCTTATTTATGCAAAACAGGGCTTCAAGTCATCCCCGTTATTCAAGCTCTTTTAAATGCTTATGTAATGCTTCAGATGAAGATGCCCTTTCATTGACTTCCTTGCAGCTGTTGCATCTAATTCTGCTAAGAAATTTGAATTTGAACCCTGAAGCAAGGTTCACGAAAGACTATATGTGAGCAGTAAAGACCGTTGAGCATGACTGGCTGTGGGATATGTTCAAGTTCAAGCAGACACTCAGCTATCAAAAAGGTTCTAATAATATACCCATGAACACAGTGATAAGTGGTCGCCTGGGTTTCAAGCCAGTCAACATGACAACCTAGTAATTAGTTGTCCCTTCATGCTGAGAATATTGGCATTGGTTATTCCTTCTGTTGCCAAGGAGAATGTTGAAGACTTGTCTGCGCGTAGTATATTTAGATTAGGGTTTTTTTTTCCCCAACAATTAATATCCAGTATGTACGTTTCTCAGGGAGCTTTAGGAGTTCTTGTTTAATCTTCCTGTCTGTTGGCAAGAGGAACAGACTTGATCTGTGTGTTGGTGTATGTTCAGCTAACACAGTAAATTGGAAAACCCTGTAAAACGTAAATTTTTCAAAAGAAAGATAAAAATCCTTTTGGGGAAAAAAGATTATTTTTTTTTTACTTTTTTTTGGTTGGAAAGACATTTACTTCCCTTTTTTGTACAGGTTAAGGAGACAAGAAAGGCACTTAAGGATTCTGAAAGTGGGCTGGAAAAAATGGCTATTGGTCATCACATTAATGATCGTGCTCATGTCATTAAAAAATCAAAGAACAGCAAGACTGGTGATGAAGAAATGAACCAAGAATTCATCAACTTGGATGAAAGTATGTCTCTTTTATGCAGTCCCTAATGGGCTTTACGCTGTTGTTTCACATACCAATTTTGAAGTTCCAGCTTGAGACGTCTTAAAAGGGACTGTTTTTCAGACAGTCTGAGAGTCTGCAAATCAGGTTTCCTTAGCTGATATAAATTTGGAAACTGCGGTTACAGTGGCCATTTATAATTGAAAATGTGTTGTAATGCAATTGGTATTGTTTATTTGTACAACCCCTGCTTGCATTTGAAAGTACTTTTCATAATATTTTATGGTTTCAAACAAACTTTTAACAGAATTTTGTTATTTGCTGTGTGTTGGTGGCTAATACATGTTTGAGATGTGTGGTTAAAGTGTGCCTGTATTTTTACAGCAGTGTTTTGTTTTGTGGAGTGTTTTTTAATTTTTATCTTCCAAACATAAGCCTACTGGCAGTAAGCTTTTAGTAGTCTTTTACAGATCCCCTAGAAATAGTTTGAAGGCCATGTGGAGAATCATGGCTCACAAGTTTAAAAAACACTGTTCAAAACCCCTAATTTTCAATACATTTTATTTTTTCCCCTACCTCGTTAGCACTTATTAAAAAGTGAACTTTGTTTTTTTCAGATGAGGCCCAGACCTTTGATGAAGAGTGGCAGAATGAGATTATGAAGTTCAAGCCATCTAGAACTAGATGCACTTTAGAAGCTCCAAAATACAGAAGTACTCATCACATACCTAAGGGAGATGGATTAAGGAGGTAAAAAGAGCTTCCTACCAGAATAAATAAATACTAGTAGCAGAATGAAAGTTGAATTCTGAAGCAATCTGTTCACATGCAAACAGTGTTGCTGGCAATCTGATGAAAAAGTGTGGTTTATTCCTTTTCATGGTGCCACAACAAACAGTGTAAGGCGGTATTTTGTTGCTAAATTCTGAAGAAATTTAGTATATTTGACTTAGAAAACATCTTAATGAAGATGGTGTCTGCTCTAGAGAACAGGCCAATGCTCTTAGCTAAACCATGTACAAATGTTGCAGCTGTCCACACAGTCATTAAACTAGGTGAGCTGCTTTAAGCTATAATCCATATTGAGGGCTAGGCTGATCTCTTCCCTTGGGTAAAAGGGAAGATGTTTTCCATATAGTTGGAGACAGACACACCCCTCTTTGCAGAGTTAGATTTCAAATGAGACCTCTCCTAATCTTAAAATCGGGGAGTATGTGTAGAAATGAGGTCTTTATCAGTAAATGCAGGAGCTCCCCTGCATAAACTGCTATCTGCCAAGCTTCAGTTTTTTCCCCTCTACTACTGACAGATAGTGTCAGTGCAAGTTGTCTTGCCTTCATCAGCTGCATGTTTGGTAGAGAATGCTACAGAAGGGAGGTTGTCCTCTTTGGTAGACTACACAGAGCACTTTCCCTGTGGCACCCCTCCAATTCTAGAGGTTTATTATGGAGGCTACTTTACCTTCAGTTTCAGTTTTCAGACTAAGCTGGTTCTTTCTTGCCATCAGAGTGTGTAAGATGAGGAATCGGTCCAACCCTATGGTGGTAACAATGGAAGGAGTTTTTGAGAAAGAATCAAATCTGTGTTACAACTAAAATAACTATACCTCCACTTAAGTAACTAACAAAATATACATTCTCCCATCCCCTTATTTTATGGTGGTTGTGATTTTTTTTTTTGTTGTCTCTTGTTTCAGAGAGAAACCACTGGCAATTGCAGGATTCAGGGAGCCCCGAGGTTCTTTGGAGAATCTCAGTGTGAAAGGAACACATGTCCCCATCAGAAGCAGCAAAAAATAAATTGCTTCCATTCTCCATTTGAATGGAGTTTCTTCAGAGAAGATAATGGTGCTGCATTGCTTATGTTTGTATAAGTATACACATATATATGACCAATCTCTGTTTTTTGTTTTAGTAAGTATTAGCGTGCCTTACTACTCTGATCTTTTGACAATTGAATGTTCTTTAAAACTTCAGATCCTTGGTAAAACCATCCAGTTTCAGTAAATTAAAAACATAACAATTTTCCACTTAAAAGCACTTTAATGGGTTATCACTAATTCTGTTTTAAAAAGAAAATTAAAAATGCTTTGATTTACAAAATTTTTCTGCTACATCTGTAACAATCTCAGGCTTTTTATTAAGCCTGCAACTATTAAGTAATGCAAGTATTTTTCCCCCACACTCTTAACTTACACAGAAATTCTTTTTATTTTGTGTGGCTGAAATAATTACTGATTTTTCTAGGTGATATAGCAATTAATAGCAATTTGAATGCACTGTAGCCACTATATCTACCTATCTACATATCTATCTTTAAAATCATACTGTAATCTTTTATAGAATCCCCAGATTTACCCTGCTTTAGCATGACGTGTAATAGTAAATTAACAAATACTTAAATTTTATCAGTTTTAGTTTTATCAGCATTTTTATGTTTATAAGCTGTGCTTGCATCTCTTCTGTGCCTAGATTGTTGGTTTTGTATTTCTGATTCTTTGTATATTTCCTTTGGAGGTGGCCCATTATTTTTAATTCTTGAAGAGTCTCTGTAGTAGCTTTTAATTATCCTGTAATAATACTGCTGTGGCCTAAAACACAGCTGTAACTACTAGTTACTGACCAGAAAAATAAATATGAGAAACTGGTTGAGCTGGCAGTAAGTTTAACTGGATAATGAACGATTACACTATTTCTTCTCTCCTGAAAAGCTAAAAGAGCCCTGAATACTGGAAACCATTTCCCCTCAGCTGAGATGAAACATGTTTGTATTCTTGTGTGTCCTGCTTTAGCAAATGTAGGATGATCTTAAATCTAACACTTCATCTAATGCTGGTCTTGTTTGGTTAAGGTGTCTAATGTTCCAGAGAAAAGCCAACTGTGTGACTGAGGACAGGTCTCTGTATCACAAATGTTCGGTTTGTATGCTGTTCTATCACACAGAATTGATCCCCATACTGTATCACAAATAATTTCTGTAGGCTATAACATTATAGCATCAGCATATATTTCAAGGCTAAAACATTATAGCCTTAAAAAGGCACTATTTGTATGATAAAAGAAAATAGGTTTTATAAGTTAATCTTTGTTTGGCCAAAAAGCAAATGGCCTCTAAATCATATTTAATCTTTCTTCAGATTCCGTGGATTACTTAATTCTATGCTTATTAATGTGCAGATAATCAAAAATACTTCTATTGAAATCTGCCAAGGGCAAGACAGTTGTTTATTTGCTTGTTTAATGCAATAGTCTCTTCCTATTATTAAACACTAGTGACAATAAATCTATGCTGTTGAACCACTCCACATGCGGGCAAGGTAAGAGGGTGGTAAGGAGGTAGTAGCAACTCCTGATGGAAGGACGAGCTGGAACTGTGTGTAACAAAGTCGCACCTGCCAGAACTCCGAATCTTTTACTCTGCTTCAAAAGTAAGAGTACACCTCTGTGGCCTGATCTTCTGTACACTGAAGACAACATTGATTTTGCAATTAATGTCATTGAGAATATAAGGCCATGGAGGCATTTTTCCAGGTGTGTCACTTAAACTTCCAAGTCAAAAAAAGTCAAAACCTTGTTACTGTTGTAACTTAAGAAGAAATCTTCGGTTTGGGAGCTGCTACTATTTAACAGAAAAAAAAGGAGTATTCATCTTGCAAGTTACTTGTTTTTTCTGTGCTTTACTGAGATTAAAAAAAAACAACCCCATGCCACGTATATATAATCAACAAAACAAGTATGTACTTCAGTTTGAAAATTATAGTGGAAGGAGGCTGATATTCATTACAGGTTACTTTGTTATACAAGCCAGTCTTTTAAAATGTAATGCAAAAGCAGCTGTTCTATATAGAAACATTGGAAACTGTAATTCTTTAATAAAATTATTTATTTATGGTTATTGTTTTGTTTACACCACAACGTTGACTAGTGCATTTTTTATTTTGGCCTCCTTAAGAGCGTTCTTATGTATGATACCAGTAACAACGCAATGAGGGAAAGTGTGCTGCTCTCTTTCCAGAGGGAAAAGGTGCATTTACCACACAAAAAGCACTGTGCCAGGAGGAAACAGATGGGGGGAGCATTTGTGTGGGGGGTGGCAAGGCTGGGTCTCTGCTTCAGACCTGCTCCTGGAGTGGTCTCTGGTGTGAAAGACCAGCTGTGCTTAGTGTAATCCTCGGCACTGGGCATTTACATTTTTATAGTTGAGAACACAGATGCATGAATCTCAGCATGCCATCCATTCTAACAGCCACCACGGACATGCTCTTACCTGATCCTAAATTCTCTATTATTGTGGTATTTATAGAGAGAGGTCATGCAGAGGACACGTGGTGTATCTCTAATGCTGACTTAACTGAAATTTGGCTATTGTAATCCAATGGTCACAATGTTACAAGCTTGTACCTGGGCTCCAACCTCCATCTTCCTACCTGTCATGAGTGTATTTTCCTTTCTCGTGCAGTGCTGCCACACAGCTGTTCTGATGAGGAGTCCAGCTCTGGACGTGTCTAATTAGGGACGCCTGTGAGGGGTAGCCCTGTGCTCAATGCTTGCCTGCATTAAGCTGATTTGGTTTGGTGGAGTCGGCTAACCTTAACCTGCAGTTACAGCACTGCTCTGATGACTCTGTGTCTTCAAATATCGCCTTCGATGAGCTTCAGTAGCTAAAAGTCTAATCCCTGTGTCCAGGTCGTTAATTAAAGTAGTGACTGGGGTCAGTCACAAGAAATAATCACGGCCTGACCCAGCAGGAGCCCCCTTCTCCCGCTCCCCACCGCGGCCAGTCTCTCTGACGACATCCGGTCTCGGCTGCCGCTTCCCCGAGTCTCTCGCCCCCTGCTGCTGCCGGGCCCGCTCCGCATGCGTGGAGCCCCGGAAGCGGTGTGGGCCGACTTCGGCGGCGGTCGGGAGCCATGCTGCGGGCGCTGGGGACGGGCCTGGCGCGGGGGCACCTGAAGAAGCAGCAGCGGCGTCGGCGGCAGCAGGTACCGGCCGCGGCCGTTTCGTGAGGGGCGGCAGCTGCAGCGGCGCGGGCCGGGCTGGGCTGGGCTGGGCTGGGCTGGGGCGGGACAGTACGGGCGCCCTGCGGAGGAGGCCAGGGGACGCGGGACTGCGGGGCCTGGTGAAGCCTGCGAGGGCCGAGCGAACTGTGAGAGGCCGGACGTAGATGCCGGTGCCCGGGCGCACCAGCCTCCCGTTCCTGCGGCGGCGGGAGAGGAGCTGAGGTGAAGGGATGGTGACAGGGAGAGGACAGACCTGTCTGAAAGCACCGTATGAGCCGCAGGGAAACATGCAGCGGGTCGGTCAGAGGAACAGGAGGAGGAACAGAGGAGTCGAGAATAGAGTGGGATTGAAACACGGGACTTGGCGTGGAGGTGTCACCTGGCTTCTTCGAGTGTGGTGCGGAGCTTAGAGGTGGCCCTGTGGGAGCTTGGAAAGGCTGTTTTGCTCCAAATGACCCATTGATAGTAGATTGGCCAGAAGCCATAGAAAGGCAGTTGACTGAGGTTTATTTATTGATGCAGTGGTTTGTGTTCGATCTGTTCCTAGCTAAACCAACAATATTTTCTTGCCTTTCAGTTTCTCCTGAGCTCCTGTAGGCACTGTTCTTCAGGATTCCTTCCCAATGAGAGGATCCGGAACATTGGGATCTCAGCCCACATCGACTCAGGGAAGACGACATTAACGGAGAGAATTCTTTTCTATACGGGCAGGATTGCACAGATGCATGAGGTTGGTTTTCAGAAGACTCCAGAGACACCCTGCCAGGGCCGAGTGTATAACAGGAGGGCAAGGGGATAAAAAGAAATCTCTCCTTTACTGCAGTGTCCTCACTCTTTCAGAATACTTCTAATCTCATTTCAAGACTTTACTTCTTTACCATCTCCACGATAATTAAATGATTGAAGATATGTTTTTCTTTTGATATAGCCAAAGAGATAATATAGCTGTGAGAAACAGTGCATAGTGAGGTAATCTTTAGCTTCAGGTATGTTACTGTGTCAAATTCACAGTAAAGCATAATTTTCACAGACTTCTGATTAGCTTTTTCAGGAATGAACCTCATAAAAGGCAAATACATTAAAGTTGTAGATGGAGCTGAAGAAAAAGACTTGCTTGTAGCTCAAGAACTGTTGGCATATCTGCTTCACTGCATGAAAGATGATGCTCAGTATAGAAAGCATCACTCTAGCATGTGCAAGGTTATTGGTAAACTCTTGGACTGAATTTCCCCCAGCCCCTTTTTGGTTTTAGTACTTTATTTTTATTATTATTCCTTAAGGTGAAAGGTAAGGATGGAGTTGGAGCTGTCATGGACTCAATGGAGCTAGAGCGACAGCGTGGAATCACAATTCAATCCGCAGCAACATACACCATGTGGAAAGACATCAACATCAACATCATAGACACACCAGGTAAGGGCAGTTCTGAACATGCTGGGATTGCTGTTCTTTCATGTATGCATAGAACATGGTGCTGTCTTTGTGGTCAGTAGTCGCTCAAGCTGAGCTAATGTGACTCTTTCTGTACAGCTGCAGAATGATTCTGTTGGCTGTTGCTCTTTTCTGCCTGTATGAAAAAACAGTTTCTCATTATCTTTTCTCATCTGTAAATAATGTTTTTTTTTTTTATTCAGGGCATGTGGACTTCACAATTGAAGTGGAGAGATCTTTGCGAGTTCTTGATGGAGCTATTCTGGTTCTCTGTGCTGTTGGAGGAGTTCAGTGCCAGACAATAACAGTGAACAGGCAAATGAAACGTTACAATGTGCCATTTTTAACATTCATCAATAAACTGGACAGACAGGGCTCTCGTCCAGCCAGAGCAGTACAACAGTTGAGGTATTTATCATTTAAAATTATTTGTGAAATAAATCTGAAGTATTCACATAGCAGGTTAAGGAAGAATATTGAAAAGGGTTTTTTTAGATCTGTAGTTGCCAACTAGAGGGTAATACCTGATTTGAGAAGAAATCTTGATCTGACCTGTAAAATAACTCAATTTTCTCAAGAAAAACAAATGTTAGTGTCAGCTTGAGCTTGCAGTAACCAAAATTTTGGGGTTTGATATTTATTATTTTGATGGAACTATATTTGGAGCCACTTTGAAAATGGCTTTTTAATTTTTTCCTAGATCCTGGTAGCAAATGTACTGCAGCTTACAGGAGGGAGATGACATAGGGTGGGATGATTTCTAGTTCGGATAACAGAAGTCTTACTTGCTCCTTACCTGCAGTCTCTCTGTGCCTAATTTGATCTGTGAGATCAAATGATCAAATAAGATGAATGCATTAATATGTATTAAGGGATAAGCAACTCCCATAAATCAAGTAATTTATCTGAAACCAGTTTGCACGGCCTTCTTTCCCATGAAAGTCACTCAGTATATCTATTGAGATACAGAGGGCTGGCTGTCACTCAGGTTAAAATGCAACTGGGCATTTTTCATCAGTATTGGTAGATTTTTGGCACTGTCCAGAGGAGAAATGAGAGTGATTTTGTAGGAGCGATATGTTGTTCAAAGACCATCTGGAGCACATATATAGAAATTACTTTTTTTTTTCTTCTTGAACTGATTTGTATTTGTTCTCTTTTTCAGATCCAAGTTAAAACACAATGCAGCTTTTGTTCAGATTCCAATTGGGCTGGAGGGAAACTTTAAAGGAATTATTGATCTCATTGAAGAAAAAGCTATATATTTTGATGGTGAGCTTGGGTAAGTTTTGAAACTTGCATATTTCTTAGCTAGAGCTGGCATTTTTTGCAGCTACCTGCAGTTTCTCTTCAGAGATGAAAAAGCCTGCTCTTTGGGAAGTTAGGGATGTGGCTTGTGGTAGTGCTGAGATATGGCCTTTCAGCTCTTCAGGTTATGGCAGAATGATTCTGCAGAGTCGGGTTTAGTGATGGGCAGTGGCGGCATAAATTGTGTGCTAACTGAAGTAGTGTGAATAGCCACACTTGCCAGCCTGAGAAATAGCAGACTTGCTTTATAACGGGAACTGATAACATGGGTTTGGCCTGAGTTTCTGGGATGAAGATAAGATGTGGGTGAGGTTGTTGAACAGGTTACCCTGCATCCTTGTAAACTCCCTACTATGAGTGGGAAGAAACCTGCTAAATCATCAAAGATAACATGTTGATATTCTTATGTGATTTCTTACCGCTCCACCAATATCCATGTCAAGAATGAATTTTCTTGGTCAGGCAGGTCATCACAATGATTAGTGATTGAAAGGTTGGTTCATACGGTATTCCTTTAAAGTGGTTATGTTATTTAATGTGTGTGTAGCCAGAATCTTCGGTATGATGAAATTCCAGCTGAATTTAGAGCTGAGGCTGCAGAGAGACGTCGGGAATTGATTGAATGTGTTGCTAACTCAGATGATCAGCTTGGGGAGCTGTTTTTGGAAGAGAAAATTCCTACACCTGCTGAGTTAAAGGTAACTTTATTGTGGTGGCCCTCCCTATAGCACTGTTACCTCACTGTTTTCTGTCCCTGTCTTCCTCCCTTTCTCATCTCCCAATAAAAAAGTTCTTGAAGTCTTGAAGAGATTATTTTTGCTTGAGTTCTCTGGTGTGAGTGTCACCTCCCACAGGTGGACACCCACTTCACTCCCTGTTGAGGGCCTGTTCCAGATTTATTTCTTGATTTTTCACTGAGAAGTCTGAGCTGCTGTGTGCCCTTCAGGGACCAGCGAATGGCTCAAAGATAGAGCTAGTAATTTTGTCATTCTGTTGCCTTCTTCTGTTACAGCTTGATGGTTTTGACTTACTTCATGTCCCACACCAAGTCAGTTGTTGAGATGCTGTAAGTTGTCTTTGTGCCTAGGAAATCCTGCCTTGTTTTGTATTTGCATTGGTTATGTTCCTCTGAAGTGAAGAGAGCAGTACATTAGAAGGAAACTGGAATGATTTGAGTTGGAAATGCTGGAGGAAATAAATCTAGGACATAGTACAATTTTCAAAAAAAGGAGAGTCACATTTCTTGAAAGTGGGGGGAAATTGGGACATGATTAATTTTAAAATATTTCAGATATGAAGTGGCAGACATGCCAACAAAAAAGGATGCTCACAGAGGTAATGAATAACATCATTTTCTGAATATCAGATGGCTGTAGACTAAAAGTTACCTGTTCTTGTGACAGTTTGATGTCGCTGTTTCCTCAAGACCATGTCCATGTAGTAAAAGGTGGCAGGGAGGCCTAGGAAGGTCAGCTGTGGTTACACAGTCTTTGTGGAAGTCCTGCCACTGTTCAGTCCAGGATGAGGTCTGTTGTGCAGTTCCAGGGAGGCTGGACAGCAGGCTAATGTGTGTTCCTTTGCTTAGGCTGTTCTGTATCAGACTTGGCAAACTGCACATACTGTTACAGATCATTACATGTGATGGCAGCCTCTTTAGGGATTATCATTGACTAATGATGCCTCTTGAGGTACTGCAGTATTAGCTTTAGGCAGGACAGGTGCAAAGCTTGGCTATCCCAGCATAAGCGTAAGAGAGCCTATGCTGCAT